AATGCTTTTCGTTTCAAAATCCGTTCCCTGGTGTGAGGGGCCAGAAATCGACTAGAAAAACCCCGCAAGTTATGAACCCTGTAAGGGTGTGTGTGTGCGATTTTGGACAGTTCCTATAATTGTTTGCTCCTTCCCAGATCCCGAAGGAGGATTCCCTGAGAACGAAGGTCGAAGGGGAAACTTATCTAGTAGGTGGACAAGCGGACCAACACGTAATTCTCATCAAAGGATATGCCCTCCGCGACTGAGCACACCTTCTATGCTCTTCGGCCCACAACCCCATCCTCGACTAGCTAATCACTCGCCGGAGATCATTTGATTTTAACGGCGAATGATAAGATAGCAGAGAAAGCGTAAGTTTGAAGAGGGCAGCACCGATGAGAGTTACATCAATGCGCGGTTTCTCATCCTCTACCCTTATTTCCAATGAGCTGCTTTTCCATCGTAAAATCTGCCTCTAAGCAAATGCCATTATGAGTGGTTAGTTGGCAATGTGAACTACTAGAACGTAACAGCGAAAAATTTCCGATAAGTTTCATATGTATCTCGAAACATAAGAAATACCTCGTCTTGCATCGCTGCTTGATGCCTTCTTTCCTTTTCGATGTTTATGCGTGAAGCTAGGAAATTCGATCGACTGAAATAAACTAGCTTGCATCGACTGTATAAATTTTACTACCCATCAAACAACAGAAAACCAACATTATAGAGCAAGCCCATTTCCGAGCAAGTTTGTAGGAATGGTTTGGGTGAACACATCTCGTTCTCCTCCTTGAGATGACTCTGAGCGTGTTCGCTAAGAGCTTCAAGCGGCTCGTTCTTACAGGGGAAACAATATAGATCCTTCGTATGCTTCGCCTGAAAGGACAACAGCTAGAGGAGCAAAAAGAAAATGCAACCGACCATCGGGCGTTTCTCGGTGAGACATACAATGAAATGGAGCACTGCATCCTTCATAGCTTTCCCTTGGCCAATCGGTGCACTAACGAACTTAGCAGTACAGCACGTACAGCTGACAGTTGGAACAGGTTTGCTCCGGCATATGTGCTCACTGAATGCGGTTATGGTCGCATATCCACGACGGCATTCGCATACAAACCTAAAAATGGTGCGAATAGAAAAATACAAGGTTGCTTTTTACCCACTCCAACAAGGGAAAGTCAATAAGTCGGTCTGGTCATTTAAAGGAAGCGATTACGATAAGGAATTTTCGCATCGGGGGAGAACCTGCGCCACACGGAGCAATTACTTGGCTGCCAAGGAAGCGATGTGTGGCCCTCCCACGGCGAAAGGTGCTGTGGTTGCTGAGCAGGACCCGCGTGACGCCTCCGCCCCCAGTGACGTGACGCCCACTAGTTTTGTTGATGATCTGGATGGACTGTTTGCTGTTGGCTTTTCATTTTGGATGATCATTTCCCTTCTAGCGGCTGTATCTTCCAACTTGCCCACGTATTGCCTTATCAATCAAAACACTATGCTTGTTGGCATGATGGCGGCTATCGGGGTTAACACGTCCGAACAACGTCGTTCTTTACCGTCGCTCATCCATGGTCGAAAATGAAAGGGCAATCAAAGGGGTACTATTTTGCTTATTTTGACGGATTTCTTTGCTTTTTTCGCCAC